GTAGAAGTACTGTAGTTTTAAGCATTTAATTATGTTTTAATTGTGTATATTTTAAATATATGTACACTGCAGTCAATGTTTGCTTCAAAAATGATTTTTCAGGAAAAGATTGTCAGGGAAGGTGTCAGTAGAGGTTATAATAACCAAACCACATGACACCAGGGAGGGGGAACAGCTACTTGGGCTCCATTTGGACAGTATCATGTAGGGGTGTACTCACTTTTGTTGCCAACAATTTAAACATTAATGGTTTTGTGTTGCATTATTTTGAGGGAACAGCACATTTACATTGTTATACAAACTGTATATGCACTACTTTACATTATAGCCAAGTGTCATTTCTTCAGTGTTGTCACATGAAAAGAAATATTTACAAAATGTGAGGGTGTATTGTATACTCACTTCTGTGATAGACTGTATATGTTGCATAAGATTTTTATTTATTTGCTTCAATATTCATTAGTATGTTTACTTATTTTGAAATTAGGGTAATAACATAAACTTGAATATGAGAAATAGTCTGTTTTAAGTAAACGGAAGTACTTAGTCATTTAATGAATATTTTTACCATGAGCACAAAACCTTTACATTTCTTTTGCATTATATACTTAGTAGAGTTTTGGGTTACCTTAGTTTTTCTACATAAAGAATAATATGGACACAATTCATTTGTAATTTCTAGTGTACTGTCTCAATTGACTCAGTCAGAGGAAGATAAAGCATGTGCATTTTCTGAATGTGTAAAGTCCGAATTGTCAACAGATTGATTTTTCACATATACATTATTTTTTTAAATGATTTTTATATATGGTGCTGAATGCTAGTATAGTTGCCTAAACACAATTAACCAAATGTTCTGTTTCTTTGAAGATATTGAGCCAATTAATTAATGAACACACTGTGAATAGATTTATACTATGAATAGGTGTAATTTCAAAGAATGTACTTCATTTCCACAATAGCATAGTTTTCTTTATTAATTAATATAAACTTTGGAAACAGCAAATGTGAACTCGTTTAAGGCTTAAAAGCTTAAAAGGGTACAGATAGATAAACATAAAGAAAGCATTTCAAAAGCAAAGGGCAAAAGGTAAGGAATTTAAATAATTTCCTGTCCAGTGGCTTATATGGCTTTAGAGTTCAGCTTTAGATTATAGTTTAACCTGTCCAAATATATTATTACTAAGAAGATAAAAATTGTATGTTCAGATGAAAACAATACACCCATATTGAAATGCTTTGCAGTGTCTTCATGAATAATAGAATAGTGCAGAATGGAAAGTATAGGCTAATAGGAACACAGTGAAATGAAAACATAGTGAGAAATGAGTAAACTTTGAGAGACTTCTGGGTGAGGAATGGCATCTTCAAGCGATTAGAGGCAATGAAGCCACAACTGAAACACCAGCAGATAGACCTTATCCTGATAAAAGATCATTTGTGCTCTGGATTGCTACACTTCACAATGATGCTTCAGAATAGCAGTTTCCCATGGATTAATAAATCTTATCTGCTTAATACTTAAACCTTATTCCTAAGTATGTGTATTAGAGCTGCATAGGTTTTTAGTTTAAAAAAAAATATTTTGGAGCTTGAAGGAGTATAAATATAAGATCTATAGTAACTTAAAGTTGCAAACCTGAGTGGAAAAATCATGCTGTGCAGCTCTGATGTGTCCATTAAGGCTGCTTGGATTTTCAAAAGGCTTTTGTTGTTGTTGAGGGTTCAAGTAAAGTGCTTCTTCAGAATAGACTGTAAAGTAACAAAGTGCCCCAGTTCTAAGTCGCCGGTCATCTTAAGTCTCCTAGTCCAATATTTAATAAGACAACAGCATGTTAAAAATTCAGTACAACAGCAACAACCACTGTTAGTTGCTAATAATTCTAAAAACCCAACAGTCAAGTATTTTCAAATCTTGTGATACTATGACCATCTAACTCTGATAAATGAATGTGCATTCACCTCTTCCCTATGAATAAATCTAATAATTTCATTGGAGCTAGAAAAAACATAGCACTTACTTTTAATAATTTAACTTACTTCAAATAAAATAAAATTACAATCCTTGAAGTTGAAACTATATGGATATATTACACAGCAGTGCCAGCAGAGAAGACAATTCAGGCTATCTTGTGATCGGTGTCAATGAATATCTGATAATAGTCACATCAGAGTCAATAGTGGAGGAAAGAGTTTTGTCACTTTCATTTATATTCATAACCCCAATCTGGAAAATACATTATACTTTAATCAAAGCAAGTGGCAACAATTTCATTGCCATTTTTGTCATAATGATAAATATAACCAATTTGTCGAATAAGTTGTCAAAACAGTGTTTCATACCTTGAATAATGATTTAAAGAAAACAGTATTGTTTGTGCCTCATAAATAAATGAAGCAGCTCAAAATGGATTCATAAGCTTTGTTTTTTATTCCATCCAATTGTGGACAATTCTTGGAGATGGTCAGGATAAGTTCCTGACAGCACGATTTTTCAGAAGTGGTTTGCCGTTGCCTCCTTCCTGTAGCTGAGAGAAAGTGACTAGTGAAAGGTCACCCAGCTGTATTTGTACCAAAGTGAAATTAGAACTCAGAGCCTTTTGATTTCCAGCTTGATGCCTTAATTATCATATGAAACAAATTTCTTAACTGAATGGTATTCAAAAGTCCAAGCCTGGTTGTGATGGCTCCTGTAAATTGGACTCCTATAGGGTTCTATCCATGTGTTCTGAAATCCTGATTAGACCCATAGACTTTGTACTAGAAAGCATTATAGTATACCTTATAAACATACTCAAATGCTTAAATAGTTTCAGACATTTAACTTTGTTCTGTCCTTGCTTGCAAACCCAAATAGCTTTCTAGCTCTCACTTTCTCTAAGATTTCCTTTTAAAATGGCAATTGAGTTTTTAAGTACATTTTTAAAGCAGTACATTGAGATAAATATCTATTCTGCATTATAAATGTGTACTGCATAAATAGTAGATGTTTAACCTCAGTGTATTCTTCAATGCCAATGATCCATTGCTGAAAGGGAAAGGGAAAAGACTGCTGTTGGCAAGGAAACGCCTTCGTTATGAACTCTAAATGGTGTCTGATATTGTCTATCAGAATTGGACAGCAAGCAATCCTGAGAAATTTGCAATAGACTAAGTATTGAGACCAATCTGCTGCTTGACAAATGGAGAGCTATCAAGCAGATGGCATGCTGGAATCTCTTGCAGGCCAATTTATATCACTGAAGTATTCTGTTGAGTGTCTCCAATCCATTAGCATTCACCATTTTCCAGAGACAATCAGTAGGTTTCAGAATATCACAAGAGGATATGATAAATCATACTGAATCTACAATCTCACAGATTATAGATATTTTATAGGAACGTTTACATATCAGCTGTAGTCTAGTTTTACCCGTTGGCATCCTTGTTTCTCTGTTCCCAATGATTTTTTAAATTTATTACATCACCTGTCAGTGTTGTCTCTTATCTCTGTTTTAGCTGTTTGTATTTTGTAGCTTTTTGTTTTCATTTGAGAATTCTAGCTGTAGAGAAGTCAAAGATAGAGCCGAGGTGGCGCAGTGGTTAAATGCAGCACTGCAGGCTACTTCAGCTGACTGCTGCTCTGCAGTTCGGCTGTTCAAATCTCACCGGCTCAAGGTTGACTCAGCCTTCCATCCTTCCGAGGTGGGTAAAATGAGGACCCGGATTGTTGTTGGGGGCAATATGCTGACTGTGTAAACCGCTTAGAGAGGGCTGAAAGCCCTATGAAGCGGTATATAAGTCTAACTGCTATTGCTATTGCTAAAGAGGTTGGATCTGCAACAAAAAGCTGTCGTATGGAACGCTCCTATTTTCAGATTCCAGTCAATTTCCAGAGCAAAATCCCCCCCTTTATTTTTTTTTAAAATGCTTCACTCAGAATAGCAGAGCTGTATTTTCAAAAGGCAAGCATGTTCAACAACTGAGCAAACATTTTTGCACAACAAAAATATATTTTTGGGATAGAAATAGAAATAATAGAATGTTGCTTAATGATTCTTTCATTGAAAAATGTATGTGTGTATGGGGGACTTGTCTATCTGTATTGTGTTTCTGTGATAGACACACACCCCATCTCTACTTTGATACACATATGAATGAGTGGCACAACATTGCTTTCATTTTAATTTTAATGAAAATCTCTGATCCTCCTCTGTACCCAAATGCTTCATATTATCCAAGAACAACAATGCTAACCAATCAATTGTGATATGCATATAAATCCATACATTGGAGACTTCTATAGGTCTGTCCCATAGAAAAATAAGAAGTTGGCTCTCTATTCTATCAACCCTTGCAATGGGAAAACAGATTCGCTATAGAAAAAAACTGAATGTTATTGAACTTGAATATGAAATGTAGTTTGCCTATCAGCAGCAAAGAAAATTGATTGCTCAATTCATTTTCTTTTACATCTGAAACTTATGTCATCGGGAGTGGTATGCTTCCATTTCTTAGGGAGTGTCATTTGTTAGGGCCCACGAGGAAAGCCTTCTTTGTTCTGGCACTCAGCTCCCCCCTCCCCACAACATCATTCCCCCGGAGATCAGATTTGCCCCAAATCTACTGGCTTTTCCTAAGGCCTTGAAAACCTGATTTCGTGGAACCTGGGGCCCAATACATTTTGTTTTGTGGTGTTTAATCTTAATTTTAAGTATTATTATACTTATTACACTATTTATACTACAAGTAGTTTAATAATACTTAAATACTTAATATATTAGTCTTCCAGAGTCATTGCCTCATTCCCAGGTCCTAGAGAAAGTAACTGGTCAAGATCATCGATGTGGCTTCGTGTCTAAGGCAGTGCTAGAATTGAAAATATCCCAGTTTCCAGCTTTCTGCCTTTAACCACAAAACAAAATTGGCTCAGTTTTATAATTATAAGACTTCAATTATCTTAATGACATTTTATTATATTTTGTTGCAGATCCACCTAATGCTTTATATCTTTTTTCCAGATACCACCTCAAGTACAGAAGTAAAATATGTGATTGCTTTGGTTGCAGTTATATGCCTTGTCCCATTGCTGGTGATCGCCATTGCTGTGGTCATTATCTTTTACTTCTATCGAGTTCAGAGGAGGAGGAAACTCAACAAGGCATGGGAGAAAAATGTGAAGTCCAGGAAGCACAAAGACTGTAGTGACGTTTGTGCCATTATGCTGGATGATGATCGCTCTGACATCAGTTCTACTTGTGCTAATAATATTAACCATAATACCGAATTGCTGCCTATTGAATTGGACACTTTGGTAGGCAAAGGACGATTTGCAGAAGTCTATAAGGCTAAACTGAAACAAAACACATCAGAACAATTTGAAACTGTGGCTGTGAAGATCTTCTCCTATGAAGAATATGCCTCCTGGAAGACTGAGAAAGATATCTTTTCTGATATAAATCTAAAACATGAGAACATCCTACAGTTCCTTACAGCAGAGGAGCGCAAGACAGATCTAGGCAAACAATACTGGTTGATCACTGCTTTCCATTCAAGAGGCAACTTACAGGAATATCTCATAAAACACATAATTAGCTGGGAGGATCTGTGGAAACTGGGTGGCTCTTTGGCTCGTGGGATTGCCCACCTCCATAGTGATCACACACCATGTGGTCGGCCCAAGACACCAATTGTCCACAGAGATCTGAAGAGCTCTAATATCCTGGTAAAGAATGACCTGGCTTGCTGTCTCTGTGACTTTGGGTTATCACTAAGGCTGGATCCTACTCTGTCTGTTGATGACCTGGCTAATAGTGGGCAGGTAAGCTGACACAGATGATTTTGATAAATAATGTCCTTTGTTGAAGTATCAAGCTTTGTGGTAGATTTACTGTCACTAGAGACAGGCTTGAATAACTGCATGCAATTCCATGTAGTATCTCTTCAATAAAATCTGGAGAATTGAAAGTGGGTGGCAGCTTTAACTCAGACTGCATTAATATCCCCAGTGATGCCTTTTTCCTGGCACCTGTTTCCACTTATGGAGGAAATCCTAATCATTACACTTTGAGGTATTGCTTAAGTGGGGATTAAAGACATGAAAACTGAATCTGTTTTCACCTACCCAGTAGTCTCCTATCATCTACACAGCTGACTTTGTTTTTGAAAAAAAATATTTAGTGGTGGTTTTGCTTTCTAAATAGATACTTCCATTTAAAGCATTTTAATTTTTGTAAATGCTGACAGGTTGGTACAGCAAGATACATGGCTCCTGAAGTTCTGGAATCCAGAATGAACTTGGATAATGTTGAATCCTTTAAGCAGACTGATGTGTATTCCATGGCTTTGGTTCTGTGGGAAATGATATCTCGCTGCAATGGTGTTGGAGGTATGCTAGATCCCATAGATTAAGTATTTTTAAGCAGATTTTATTATAACTCATTGTCTATTATGTTGGTGCTACATTTATTACCAAGTTACAGAGGCTTCTGGTGTTGTTCATAGATTTCCCTTTCAAGCAGTTTTAGCACTTACTGAGCTAGCCATCAAGCTATCTTATTTAGCAAGTTTGAAACCAAGAGCAGACAGTCTTACTGGCACAGGGATTAGCAAGCAAACATCTGCACATATTGTGCATTCCTTGTTCTCATCAATCTTGAGCAAAGCCATCTTGTGTGTGTGGGGGGGGGGGAAGATTCCAGGTCATAGGTAGCAGGAAATAAGCTTTTTTGAATGGGTTTATTGGGACATGAGAAATATAGATCTCCTCCCTTCCAGCAGTTTTATTCAACAAAGTTGGTTTCATCAATGCTGGCTTTTGTGAAAATTCTGACTTCTCTGTCCCCACAATTCTCTACTGCAGTACCAGTGCTCATTCTGTAACCCCATTCAATTGACCTGAACACATTAGTTTGTTGAGAGAGATTATATATACAGACCATTAAACACTTTTGAGCATCAAAGTTTAGTTTGTAATTTGTAGTTAGACCAGGGGCTCTTGAATTGTACCCACAATTCTTTGAAGCTGTATAATCAGCATAGAATAAGATCTAATCATCTTTTTAAATCTAATCATACTTGCACAGACATTGGTGATAAAATTTGTGCTTGCTTTGCCTAGGCAACTACACAACGGTTAAAGGGAAAAGAGAAACATGGAGTGAATTTCAACTGTTCTCCACAAGGAGCACTCTCAAAACTCTTCTACTTCAGTTGGGCATAGTCACAGGAAGTAATTTAATAATATGGATTTTGAGATCCAGAGATTAAAATTAAAACCATACTGTAGTTATAGAAAGCCAAGGGTATATTTATTTGTTACGTAATTATTCATTTTATGTATTTTATAGTTCATAAAAAAACATTTATCATCTCAAGGGACCAAAGTACCAGAAAGTATGAGGACCCAAGTTAGACCTTTGTGGTTTTATCCATTCTGATAGAGAAAATGAAAAGTTGATAGGGTTGGGACAAGGGAAGGGCATTGCTCTTAGAGCTCTACCTAACAGCATTTCACGGTTTCTCTGTTGTGAGGCATGAATGAACTGTTTATTCAGGAATACTCTTGCATCATAGCTGATTCCTGAGATCTTTTCCTGTTTCTGTTTAAGTACCCTGGAATAGTGCCTAGATAAAGAACCACCCTCATTGCAGCTACACTGAGAAAGTTTCAGAGCTGCCTAAAACTGATACAAAAAATGTACTATTTTAGATCAAGAAATATAGAATCCTTTATCTATCTCTTTAAAGAAATGGGTCCTTAGGCATCACAATGAACCATGCAAATCTTAAATATGTAGTCACAGTAGGCATATGCTTGAAGAACAATAGAGTGAGCTTGGAATTACAGTGAGCTTAGAATTTGTTAAATCAAAGAAATTGCCATCTATAACAAATGGTTATGATGATAGATACATACATAAGAAGTAATACAAGGAGACTTATGTCAAATAAATTAAGAAAATGGGATGGATTTCTGAAAAGTTACAGGTTACAATTGTTGTCTATAATACACAGGTAATCTTTGACTTACAACCAGAATTGAGTCCAGAATTTTGATTATAAGTTGTTGCAGTCATAAATTGAGTCACAACGTGACCAAATTCAATTTTTCAATCATTTTATGACAGTATTAATAAAGAGAGTGGGTTCCTATGAGATGCAGTTGAGGTGAATATATTTTACATATAGATTCTCAGTACATTTTAATTTTTTTGAGCTGGCCTTATCTCTAAACATAAGATATGAATATCAATATACTTGTAAATGAAGAAACAACTTTAGGAAAGACCATTCAATTGGTTGTTTGACAAAATGTGGAAAGAAGTTATAGCTTTTCCAATTTTTCACTAGAGAGTAGTTTAGAAGCCATATTTAAAAATTGCTTTAGAAAGCAATACTGCTTTTAGGAAAGCTTGAAGTGCTTGCTTGAAAGTTTAGTCAGCACAACAGCTGTACACCAGATGTTATGCATTGTGACAAATATCATTTCCATTCAAACAATTTGCCTTTTCAACTGACATGGATACTCTGAGAAAGGAAAGCACAGCGAGCCTTAAGTGTTCTGACAGCCTTCCCAAAGTCACTTCTTTTCAATATTTTTGTTGTCTGTATATGACATTACTCAGTATCAGCCAAGTTACAAAAAGATACCTTTGAAAAATACGATTCTAAAAAACTTATGCTCTTTAAGCTTCTTTAAGCAATGCTGAATTACTTGAAATGTTTTCTGGCTTTGTCTGAAACAATACATTTGGATTAAGGAAGAAAGTATAGAAAACTGGTATGTTGAAAGGTTTGGGACTTTGGTATTTGGCAGGAAAAACAAATCTAAATATTTTGGAAGAAAAGTAGTCTACACTCAGTTTTTCAAGTGCTCCAAAACTTTTGGTATTCAGATACAAATCCATGACCAATTTCTCATTGCCTACAGCAGTCAAACATTAAATGTAGTAGAACAAAATGCAGCTACATTTTTACTCTCCCACTTCATTACAATTGACTGATATAGTTTTAATTTTTTTCTTTGGTTCAATCATGTCTAATTTTCAGAGGCTACCTGTACAAGTCCCTGCAGTTTTCTTGGCAAGATTTTTCAAAAGTAATTTGCCATTCCTTCTTTCCTAAGACTGAGACAAAGTGACCAGCCCAAGGTCCCCCAGTTGGTTTTGTGCCTAAGACAAGATTAGAATTTAAGATCACCTGGTTTCTAGCCTGTTAACCACTACACCAAGCTGGCTTTCTCTATTTTAACATCGGTATTTAAATGATGAGACATGACAAAAGAAGGCAAAGCTGCTATTTCTCCCTCCCATCCCAAACAGTTTTGTTTAAAGAATAAGCCTACTTAATGAACTGTTGTGCATTAAAATTAAACTTAAGCATATGAATTGTAGCCTCCACTGTTTTAAATGAGAGTTCTGCAGAAATAATACTACAATACTATCATGCAAGCATGCTGCTTTCCCTTTAAATTGAGTCGTTGGCTTCTTCCTTTTTTTCTCTACGAAAGAAAGCTTGGCATTTTTAAAATGCCCTCTATTGTGCTTCAGGTCACACTTGTTTCCTTACACTGGCTCCAGGAAATATACTTCGTGTCTGTTAATTGGAACATGTTTCAGTTTTGTCCTGCATCCTTTCATGTCAAAAATAGATTTCGGGGAATTATCTTATTCAGCCTATTGGTGTCCTGAAAACAAATTGTATGTTGGATGAGGTCCCTTAGGATGGACCTTGACTCTTCATGAAAATGTGCAAATATGAAGTGGACATTTAAATGCAATAAACATCATTCCTCAGAGAAACCGCAATGATTTGGGTCTTTGTCAGTTCAGTTCAGCATATTGGTCTAATCTAAAGCTTTTTATTGCCTGCAGAAACCTATTCTAAAACCATCATGATCTGGTTTAAATAGATGTTATTTTCCCATATTTCTCTGCTTTGATATGGTTTTATTTAAAAAAAAATAAGGCTATTTCAAGCACTATTTGTCGTGGGAAAGCAAGAAAATAAAAATTTCCAAAATAAATACTTGCAAAACATGTTTCAGGCATAATTGTAGAGCATTTGTAGCTTACTGGTAGAGTTATGCAGCTAGGCAGATAGACCAAGAAAAGTTCACTGTGTGCTTTTATTTTTAATTTTGAGAACTATTTTCTGATCTGGCAATTTTCCCCACTGTAGGGCACAAGTGGAGACATTTCACTTATATTTGGAATATTTATGAGTTTTTATAAGACGAAGCATGGTTCTTCCTTATCTTCTTGCACTGTTTGCTCCTCTCTGTATCGCTCTTTTTGTTTGCCCAACTGTCTCTTCCACATCCCTTTGCTTTTGCCTCATTGGCTACTTCTCCCACCACATTTCTGCTTTTTCCTTTGTTGATCCTTCTTCCTTTCTTTTCATTTTTCTGCTTCAACTGTGCCATCATGCACCTCTCCATTTCAGTTCCTGCTTGCTTTCATCTTTTTCTTCAGTGCTGAACCCAGAATCCAGCTCTCCTTTTTCTTAGTCTTCTCTCCCAACACAAGAATCAGTCCAGCTCTCACAGGCCCAGAAGAAATGACTATGAGTGTGTGTATGAATGTATAAGTTTGTGCTTGTCTATAAATATTTTAAGTACAACTTCATGCTGTTTAGAACACACCTCTCAAATTTATGAACAGGCCTCTGAGTCCATACTCCTGTTTTACAATTTGGCAGGAGCAATCACATGACAACCCACAAAATTCTGAAACAGAACTCTGTAAATAGACTTTTGTTGCTATAAATATATAATTATTTTAAATGTTAAAAATAAATAAAACTCTGCCATGCATTGGATGAAAAACAAATCATTTCCCTCCTAGATGGTGCGTGTATATTGCAGGATTCTATATAAAATTATCTATGCTAATAAACATAAGTTCCCTGATTCAAATCCTACCATTTATAAATGGACTAGGGAAAAAACATATCTAAAATACTAAGTAGGTACCGTCAGGAAAAAGGCGTGTGTTGTCCACCTTGAGTTATTTGTAAAAATAATACAGACAAGATATTAAATAAATAAAATAATACTGAGCTGCATTTTTATATCATTCCAGGTATATGAATGATGCATTTTAACCAACAGTGCCACAGTGCTGTACTTGATTTTTGAATTTAACATTTTTTTGATCCACACAACAATTAAAATATAAATTAACAAAATACGCCTGGTTTTCACAAAGCATACAAATAATAACAACAATGAAAAAAACAGGGTTGAAGCTAGTCAACATTTGCATGTGATATAAAAGTATCTAAGTTTGTCATGTAGTTAGCTAAAAACGTTTGTCTAAATTTGTCAGACTTCACCAACAGAAACAACAGAAATGAAATCTGGATTGCCACTGGTGTTGCTTTTAATTTTTCTCCCCATTTTTCCATCCTGTTTCCTCATATATATTTTTTTTGTTGGGGAAAATTTAAGCAGCAAACAAATGAAGCTCTTAAAGAAATCTATTCTAAGACTTGCAGTGAAGTTTTGTTTTCAAAACTCTCATGCTTTTTTTTACACCTGAAGCATACAATATAATGCAGAACAGCTTTTAGAATATATGTAAATGTACATTCTTGTATACAGCACACCCTTGCCTTCCTGTGGTTCTATCTGTCTTAGTTCAGTCTTCATGTCTGTTCCAGAATTATCTTCAGAAAACTTGAAGAAGAAGAAAAAACTTCAGCATATACCCCAAATCATTTAGGACCTCACAGTTTGAGAATTATAATGAGTTATGGATGGGCAATGAGTTTGGATTGAATTTTTTTTTAAATCTGTTAAGAATTGTGCCTTGATTTGCTCTATTGTTAGAATTTAGTTTTATTTGATTTTTTAAAATATCTTTTTAACTTCTCAGCAAATAGGAATTAGAAAAACAACCCTCTCAGATTCTTGAAGGTTTTGGTGGTTTATCTATCTATTGATCTTGTTTTTAAATCCTTGGAATAGAGATCATCACAATAATTTAAGGCTTCTAGGACAAAGCTTTAAATTTCAGGAAATGCACCCATACCTCCCACTGTCTTTTTCAATAGTAGATAAATGACAGTGATAGATAGTGTAGCAATATTGGCAAAATGTGAGACTCAGAAACAGAAAATGTAATGCAATGCTGAATTCAGATCATAAAGAGCAGGTGCCAGATCAGATTCTACTTTATCAAGGAGAGGCCAATACAAGCATCTTGATTTTAATCTTCTTAGTCTAACCAATTGTCTTCATTTTTGCTTATTTTTCTAATAGAGGTGAAAGACTATGAGCCACCATTTGGTTCAAAAGTGCGAGAACATCCTTGTGTAGAAAGCATGAAGGACAATGTTTTGAGGGATAGAGGACGGCCTGAAATTCCTTGTTCATGGCTCAACCATCAGGTAAGACAGTGTCTCAATTATTTTTGGAGGAAGATAATTCATGGCAAAACTGGCTAGTTGTCACATATAGATGTCACCATAGAAAATAATTACAGTTTTTTAAATAATTCAGTAGATGCCTTTTATTCAAGACACTAAAATTAATATTAAAATATAATTCCAACTATTATTTCTACATGTTGTGCTTCCCCTTGAAGTCCTTTTTACTGGACAATTGTATGTAAGGGATAAAAACAAAGGTGGGGGGGCTAAAAATAAAAAGGAAAGCAAATAAACATTGTGCATTAATATTTATCAGAGTTGTAAAAAGATCTTTCAAAATGAGTGCTACTTATTGTGATGATATTAGAAGCACTGCTCCAGCAAAGGGATAATAGGGATTGCAGCTCTGTTCCATTGTATTCATTTTCTGCTGCATTATTTCTCTGAACTCTGTTTGTCAAGTTGATACAATTTCCTTAATATGGAACTGGTTTCATTTTTATTCTTTCACCAGGACATCTTATTGCCATAGATCATATTTAGTGGAATAATCATTTTTATTAGATTTCAGTCAAAATTATACTAAAAATCTGCCTGTGGTATTTTTACATTACTGCTAAGGTTTTCAATTCTTTTATAAAACTCTAAACCTAAAACAATTATTACTGCTTTATTTATCCCTTCTGTTTTTCCATGAAATTTCATTGTTGTTATATACCTCTTTTTCATAATACATTTGAAATGAACGCTACATACTTTCTCTTTCATTTCTATAATGAAATTTGTTGACATTACTGATTTCAAGTTAATATTTAATTTAGCTTAATGTTAAATTTAGCTTCAGAATGCAGAAAAACTATAATTTGTATAATTTCAATTCTACTGTTGACAATTGCCAAAATCAGCTATGAAGTATATCATACAATTACATTTGGCATTAAACAAAGATAGACTAGTTTTCATTCTTTCTTATCGCCAAGAAAATTATCCATTGAAATAAAAGGCCAAATTTTTTTAGCATAGGATTTAATTGATTAATATGCATGAGCTACAGACAAAACATTACATAAATGTTCATATGAGTAATATCTTCCCGATACTTAATTTTGACAAGGCTGAAATTAGCCATTCTTTTCTAGAATGGAACACCCATTGTAGAATTCCCATTATGGTATGGTATAATTATAAATAATATCATAATAACTTAAATATCACATTAAGACTTGACGTTTGTAGCACACAAAAAAGTTTGGGCTAACTTCCTTCTGGTCTTCCACTTTATCAATTCCTGCTTCAATTGAATATTTTGGAATCCTTCTGTATCTCAGAGAATAGATAGAGGAATCTCTCCAGAATCACATACGAAACAGAATCCATATGGACCATCATTCTATGTTATACAGGAAAATTCACCCTGAATTTTAATTGGCAGTATATAACTATGGATTTATTAAATTTATTAATCCATAGTTATATACTGCCAATTAAAATTCTAAAGAATGGAAGGCGGATAGGTGAAAAAAAGTTCTGGTCACCATTTCACAAAAAAGCTGATGCAGAGGAGTTCAAGGCAAGTAGATGTGGAAAAAACAGGCAAATCTCATTCATTTGTTTTCATGAAAGATAGAACTTTTTTCTTCAGTCAGATTATTTTGAAATTCATGTCTTTTAGTTTGCTTTATTTTTTTATACCATAATTATTGACAAAATTAATAATAGCCAGAGCATATTCTACTGTTAACTATTAGTGGGAGCTGCCTGGATATATTAATTGCAGGCAGCATGAATGGACATGATGGTTACTTATTTTGTTAATTTTTTATGTATTGTCAGCAAAAATGTTTGGTGGATTTTTTGCTCAAACATCTAAATAACTTGGTTGTTTCTATGTTATGTATATTGTGGTAACTGTTGCTTTAGCCAAGCCAGGAAAACGTCTTCAAAACATTCTAGACAATTTAGCAGGCATCAGTTAATTTGTCCATATCTTCTTTAAATATTGCAAACATAAAGTAAAATCCCAAACTGTTTCTCACTACCATTACCCAACTGCCTTAGTTGCTAAATTGTTTTGCTAAACAAAACAAAACAAAAATCATAGGTATGTTTATCAATTTCTTGTAAAATTCTAATTACAAAACAGGATAATATATTTATTGCAGAGTTTAGGATACTTACTGCAGATAATGAATCCTTAATATCTCAGGATATATTCATCTTTCTCTAACATCAAAAGTGACTTACATAAAATATTAAATTGAGCTATTATAAATTGTGACAAACTGGATTTATTGTTTTCACATAAGATAACACGGATATATGGTATAAATTAGAATTATATATTTTCACAATTATTACTATTTGTAACATGAAAAGTACATGAGATTTTTTTTATACATTTGTACCCTTTGTAGACTGCTTTTTATTGAGTCTTCCAGAATTCAAAGGCATTGCTCTCTATGCTCTTTTCAGGGTATCCAGAAGGTGTGTGAGACTATTGTTGAGTGTTGGGACCATGATCCTGAGGCCCGGCTGACAGCACAGTGTGTAGCTGAGAGGTTCAATGATTTTGATTACCAAGACGGACTCTCGGGAAGAAGCAGCTCAGAAGAGAAGATCCCTGAAGAAAGCTCGGGCAACAGCACCAAGTAACAGCTGGAAGAATCAGAGAATGTTCACTTTTAGGTTCTCTGTGCTTGGCCTTGGAATAAGAGGAACATTTACCATTGGACCTATTTTCTATGACCATGAATAGCTGCTTTTTCCTCCATCCTGCAGCTCCAGGGAACAGGAATGACTTTATGGGGCAACCATAATGGGCCATGTGCAGTGCCAAGGCATAGTAGTTGCTTTCCTAAGTGTGCCATAAGATAAGTTACATTGGTGCTTCCTGAGAAAATAGGACTATATTACAATGCCAATAACAATTGCACTTTATCAAGATTTGTATATAAAACTATGGAAGCTCAGTATTAAATATAAATACACAAAGCTGTGCCGAGAGTCTTCCAGGAAATGTCTAATAGATAGAAAATTGCAAATTTTTGCTATGATGCTGACAGCAGTATTGCATTATTCACTTCGCTCAAACCATAAAAACTTATAGCTAACTACACTACAAATAGTATCAATTGCTGCATCTTTTTTTTCCAGACGAGGGGCAAAAAAACCAAATGGCAACTAGAACCTTTTGGATATATTTGAGCTTTAAAGAAAAAAGAAAAACGACGACATTATGCAATGGTATTCAGCTGGTTCCTGAATGTTTAAAATTTAGAACTTATAAATTGTTGGACCATTCACAGTCAGGAGTTTTGGTTGCTTTGTTTTTCTGTTCAAATGAAGAATTTGCAATGGTTTTCTTTCTTTCTTTTTGTTCTTTAATGTCAACAAAAAATTATTAATATTCCTCCCCTTCTTTCAACCAGCACATCATGTTCTCAGTCTTCATACTGATTACAGGTTTCTCTCCCCCCCCCAACTTCCCCCTGGAATTGGGCAGCACCAATTATAATTGCAACAGATGTTTTGCATTTGCCATGCATTCTGGAAAAAGTAGATTCCTCTCTCTTTTCCTCCATCTTTTTTTGGATCAATAACATCATGTCTAGTTTCTTAAGCCCTTAAATTCACACTTGATGTTGTGCCCAGAAGGAATAGCAGATGAATTCCTTCCTGAGTTTCTATGATGTTTTGGCAAAAATTTGTTCCGCACTCTGGGCATGCATTGCTTTTGGTCCTTGTAACATGCATCATAGCCAATGCTGCCTGCAGTTAATGCTTAGAAATGCTATACATTCCTAAACTGATTCCCCACAGGCAAGGCTTACATTCTTTTAGTCTTCCCAAATATTTAGTGTTGGAGCTGGCTTCATCAGGAATTTTAAATGGCAGGATTTGAATTGTTTGTGCTTTCTTGCAAGATATGCATTCTCCAACCTAGTGTCCTCCAGATGTATTGGACTGCAAACCTGTGATGGCAGCAGGAGTTCAACAGAACACTGGAATGGGGATATTTTTGGTAATGGCCCATTTTTGAAAGTTAGCTACTATTTTGTAACAGGACACATTCTTTCCTTTTGTTTTTCATTAGAATTAGTCCATGCCAGCCAGAAACAATTCTTTTGGGGTGAAAGATATATTACAAGTGCAATTTTTTTTCATGTAGGAGATAGGTGTTTTTCTAAGAACTCCTTTTTTGTGTATCCAATAGAGAAAAAAAAAATCATATAGGAATTTTTAAAACTTTATGGAGAAAAAATACGTTTAAAAATAATTATGCATCTGTCATTTGTATTAAACATTTTATAAATATTTAAGCATTAAGTGGACAGAGACTCAACAAAAAGAAACCAGATTTTAAAGTAACAGGCAATCTACTAAAGGGGAGTTACTAGTAACATGGCTTTAGAAAAATGTAATGTTGAATAGTGATGGGATCTGACGGCCTCTAGTGGTGGTTGCCTAGAATAGCAGAATGAAAAACAGTTCACAAAGGAGGTTTCTTTCAAACGGGATGGGAGGTACATCTGTGTCGCATACCTAAATTGCTAATTTTGTGGCCTACTTTAAATGTTACAGCACATTGTTGCCATTTATCTCAGTAGTAAATGTAAATTTACCATTTACCTCAGTATTTCAGTATTATATCTTCAGGAATGAGACAGAGGCTCGTGTCCGGTAACTCTGTAACCAATTTATTTTAACACAACTTGTAACAGTAACAG